GCCGGAATTCTCCCTTCCTCTCCAGCTCTGTGGTTAAGGACTCGGCTGCCTTTGCTCATTCGACAGCTGCAGAGAGCCCCAGTCCCATTGGAGCATCTTGCTTGTGTGGCTCCACTTTAGTGTGCACATCCAGGCCTTTAAAGGAGAGGCCATTTCGGCTGTTATTTGTTTTATAGGTTTATTTTACAAACAACAAGCTGCTGTTCGGAGTCACCCCGCTTGTAAGCGGAGCGTCTGTGTTCTCCCCATTTTGAGAACAATGTGCAACCCCTTTTTTCCTATGAAAATATCTCCAAATTACATGTGTGCTTTTCTATGCTTCTCTCCTAGATAGTTAGTTGTTACACTAGCTGCTAGAAGTTATGTCTATTGACATATCTGCACTCAAGGAGACAGATGCCTGGCTTACCCCATGGATCCACGACAGCAGCTAGAACCAAAGGAAACGAGAGGTACCCGCTGCATCCCCGGAATTACCTTTGCCCTCCGGTCATCCTCGCTCTGCAGCTTCTGCCTTAACGCTTCCTGCAGCTGCTCTGTTCTGTTCTGATGAGAAATCAGCATTAACTCCCTAGAAACCACAAAAACTCACATGTAAACAGGAGCCCTGCCTAGCTGAGGGCATGCCACTTGCTTGCAACTCAGTCTTCTGTGACAAGGGCTCATCTTTTCCTCCCTCTCTAGCACTGAGTACAGCAAACCCTGCACGCCTGTCTGGAGGCACAACAACAATCACTGTTTAGCACTGGCATAACACTGGCACATGCTTTAGAACCTCATTTTTTTAAGAAAAAATATTACTGAGCTTTCTTCCAAACTTACCTGCATAAACCTTAAATATCTTTATATTTCTCAAGTCAAACTTTGGAGCACACTAAATAACTGCTAAAATATGTAAAAGAAATTATGATATTTAATGAACTTCAAGTATTATTATGATTAACTTTTAAAAATGGAAACAGGTTTTGAATTAAAACTACTGAGTGGTTGCTGTTGTTATAGGGACTGCTTCCTTTGTGAGGCTTGTAGAACAGGAACCCTGGAGAGATTGAATTCTTGTACCTCAATTACAATTTACATTACACTAAATTGCAGACAGTTGCTACCAACTGTAACAACACGCGTATCCAAGCTTTAAGTAGACGGGAAATCGTCTTGAATTAACAGGCAATATGTTTTTATGCAGGTAGGCAAATTATGTAATTAATGGACATGTGACATACTTGTTTCAATAACATGTTTTACAGACATAATATCTAACTTTACATGCACCTCACTAGTCTACTATTTTACATGCATTTAAATGTTAAGATCAGTCCTTGAGAGTAAAATTATGTTGGAATCGATTGGAATGGTAATAGAATGAAACAGAAGAGCAGGACAGAAGAAGTGTCATGGGATAAAATAAACTGCAATACAAACAATTTCATGGGAACTTCCAAAATCTGTGCAAAAAAAAATGGGGTATTTCATTTAAAAGTGGACTGCATTATATACTTCAAAATATTGTTTTTGCAAACTTCCTTTTTGATCTAAATCCCTATTTTTCTAACTTTGTCTCATTTTGCTGTGGCAAACAGCTAGCTTTTATTGCAAAGACTAAAGGAAACAAAACTGGTAACTGGGAAAATTAAACTGTTCATCACTTAATGTTTTGTTTTTTCACGAGTCACAAGGTTAAAGTTGGCTTTTTATTGCATTGCAACAACCTGGAATATAGCAATATCACTAAAAACTACGAACATTCCTTTTGCTTAAAAATTTATTGGTTTGAGACAGCTACTCCAACGTGCTTGGCACAAAGCATACCTTGTGTTTGACAGAGGTTCATGATAAAAGCAAGAAATGCTGAGTATCTGGCAGAGAAAAACCAGGCTGAATGTACAACCAAATTGCATTACCTGGGGTGAGTCTGCTCTGATTACCTGTCTTGTTTCAGCATCTCCACCTCTTCCTCCGCCTGTCTGAGGAGAGATTTAAGTGTTTCTATTTCACTGTCTGTTCGACTTGTTTTTCTCTTCAGCTCTTCTTCCTTCCTCTCTTTCTCAGCCACTTCTTCCTGCAAACGCTTGCATACTTGCTGACAGATTAACAGTGATTCCTCCTTCTCCTTTAGCTCTTTTGCAAGCCTACAGAGGAAATAAAAATGTATCAGCATCGTAGTTGTTATATTCTTGTTTGCAGACTGAAACTAAATGGACTAAAATAATTTGTACAACAAAAAGAGAATGTTAGGCAAAAGAAAATGTATCTATTTATACAAAGGCAAAGGTAAATCTCACAACTAACACACAACTAGAAATTGAAAATTGTAAAAAATGACTGTATAAAAAGCTATACTAAAATCATTAAATTCTTCACTCTCACTCAGACATGCACCTACGTTATGTTATGCCACATCATTTTAAAACTTACCTCGATTCAGAAATTCCATTTTCGTATTTCATTTTTTTCAGCTCATTTTGGCAGACATCAACTTCATTTGATTTCGTCCTACGAAAATGTTTAAAAATGCACAATTTCTCCAAGGAAGTGACAGCTCCTTCATTTATGCAATAACTTGAGTATCATTTATTAATAATCCAACTTTTTATTTTCCATTATAAATAAACACATACTGAACAACAATCACTTCCAAACTATATCATTTTATGGTTTTGTGAGTCTAAGCAATATTTTATAGGTTATCTTTCCCTCTGCACATTTTCAGATAAATAAATCACAGAAGATACCAATGGTTTTCAATTTCTGCTGTCCCACACCATAGTATTTAATGGTGCAATGTTAAATACACATTTTTATGAAATCCCTATATGTGATCGCATAACAACAAGTGGCAATGACGTGTTTGAGAGATGCTCTTTTCTTAGCTGGTGCTCAGCCCGTGGGAGTAGGTGTTAGTGAAAATGTGAGTAAAATTCAAGTTTAAATAAACAAGTGATGGGATTACATTGGTAGTGTGTGAAAAGCGAACTGTGAAACTCATTCCCATGGGATCATCCTGTGGAAGCTGGAAGAGAAAAAATGGATTTAGAAGAAGACAAATTCATCAAAAATAGGTTCTCTAACATAATTAAACTTCTGTAACAGGATGCAACCTCTGACTTCAGAAGTCTCTAAACAGACTGTCAAAGGATTTATTAGGGGAAGGACTATTTCATATTTGCTCTGTTCTTTTTTTTCCTAAACATCTGCTAAGGGCCACTGCTGAAAATAGGATTCAGCGGAAGATGAACTTGTGGCCTAATTTATTGCGACGGTTTTTGCGTTCGCGAACTTGGAATGGTCTTCCATTCAGACTTCTAAATATAGCCTTCTAAGAAATGAATTGGCCGTGGAGTTTCCAGCTCTCCCTAGTAATAAGAGCACTAATGTTTGTGCTGGGCTGTCCGTGGGGGCCGTGGTGCCAGCGCAGGGGACAGAGCAGAGGCCGGCGCAAGCTGCGTCCGCGGAGGCTCTGCGAGCTGCTCCTGCAGCTCCGGCTGCTCCCGCGACGGCGGAGCGGGATGCAGCCCCGTGCACGTGGCTGCTCGGGGCTTTCACCCACGGGGGTTTAAAGAGCGTGCGTTTAAATGGGGAGAAAAAAAAGGATTCTTCAGAAAGCCGGGAGTTTAGAAACGCAGCAGTAGTTCAAGGAAGGGTATTACAACCTGCCCGGTTAATCCTGACACATATTCTTCTAACGATTCCAAGTGGAAAATTAGACTATTTCTAAAAGTTATTTCTTGTAACTGCAGAACCAGCCCCCTGCACCAATGCAAAACAGCAGCAGCCTCAGAAGTCCTCAAATTTTTGTCTGTGCCTCCCACAGATTTGCACAGTCTCCTAATGCCATCTGATCCCCATTCCTATGGTGACCATTTCCAGGGCCATCATCTTGGCTCAGGACATAAACCAAGGCCACGAGTTGCTAGAATGGATGCTGCTGACTTCAGGGGCCTTTGCACCTACACCTCACTGCTTTGTATTTGTGAATAAGGCAGAAAATTCCTAACAGTACTCTGAGTACCCCACTGAACACGGGCAGGACTCGCTGCCCGTCACATTTCCTGATGATTCCTGGGCATGAACAACCTCCTCTCCACGTAAGAGCAGCCCACAGTCCTGCAGAAGAATTAGTCGGGTACAGGGGTTCTGACCAAATGACACATGAATTTAAATTTTTCATTACAAAAAAAAAAATTAATTCTTCTTTCAACACAAAAGAGGGATTTATGTCAACTTGCTCATTTCAAAATAAATTTATCTTCACCTTAAAACAAAAGAAGATTCATAATTTGCATTTTTGAGTCTGTGAGTGAAAAGGATAAAGACAGAAAATATGCTCAGAAAGATCTATGGAAGGCAAAAGGCAGATAACAGAGTTCCAATGACTCTAGCTAGCACTCTTAACTAAGATAATTCACATTTTCAGTGTAATCTCAGACTTATCAAGATCACAGCTCTTGTTGCTGCAAACAAGAAGTACAACCCTGCAGCAGAGATGAATGTTTCAAATAAGATGTGGATAAAAATGAACAAGTAACGATTTAGTAGGTAAGAGGGCTGGAACTTTGAAGGCTTCTCGTCATTATGTCATCATTTCACCAATTAATAACCATGGTTAAACCTCATATTTATATTTAAACAGATATAGGATATGTTATTTTACTAAACTGCACCCATATTACATTGAAATTTTAATACTACACTTGGAAACCCTTTAGCGTGTCTATAGCTGTGTTGATGAAATCTTTTTTTCATATTTAATACTTGTATTATCACTAAAACACCTTGTTGCTAGGCACTCTAAATATTTGCAACCTTGTTATGATCAGATTCTCTGAACAGAGGAACTGAAAACAGAAAGTACCTATCATGAAAGAATCATTTAAATTTCAGGAAAACCTATTAAAAATGTGATAATATCTGGTCTTACGATTGCCCTTACTCGCTCATTGCTCTGGAGTTTAGTATTCCAAGTAGTAACATTTATTTTCACTACTGTGTTATAAAAGCTGATGCTATTTCTAAGTTTCTGCATATTCTTATTACACTCTTCCCTCCCCTCGAATCCAAATAGTCCCCCCACATGCACTTGTAGCCCCTAAGTTTGGTGGCTTCACAAAGTTTATCCTAAGCTTGAGCCTAAACGAAGCGTCGGAGGCAGCTGATTTAGCCCTCCCCTTGGCTGGATCATTAAGCACAACTGGAGAAAGGAATCTGGCTTCCACGGCTGCTTTGGAAGCAGACAAACCATCTCCCCCTTGCTCATAACCCTGTGAGACCCCGGGCCGAGCAGCAGAACGGGGCCGCTTACGTGAGCAGCTTCTTGTAGTGCTCCATCTCCGCCGTGACCTGCCGCAGCTCCGCTCCCACCGCCTCCGCTTGGCTAGTTAAACCTGAAATTAAAACACGTTGCTTTCACCTCCGTGTCTGTAAGGGGATTCACCTGGGCCCACACCGCACCCCAGGGAGCCGCGTTCCCACCTGGAGCTCCCCTTGCAGAGCCGTGTGGCCCAGGGCAGCACAGAGCACCCGGCCCTGCAAACGCGACAGCGGCCGGATTGGGGATATTTGAACCAATTTGTGCCCACAACCACGCAAGCAGATGCCTACGTTTCCTTCTGAATAGCAAATTATTTTTACTGGAAAAGTTGGAATGCTGTTGCACTGCTATAAACTCCTTTTTAGAAAAGGATTTTCATTTTTATTCTTAGGCTAGCACACAGATTCCATTTATATTACAGAGCTGGTTTCACATTACTATTTTTTTTATTCTGCCAATGAAACATCAAATTCAACTAAATGTAAATGAATAATCCTTTAAATCATAAAAATAACTGCAAATAATTCTGAGAGAAAAAGAATATAGGAGACTGGCCATGAAAATAAGCTGCAAATGCAATTACATATCATATAGTAAAGCTGGTCTAATGCTCTTCTCTATTTTCTCTTAGACTGTCTTAGATACAGGTTATTGTTCTGAACACATTATCCATTGGTTTCCATCAGCCACTGCCCTCTTCTAGCAGGAATTCCAGTCCTTTTCATCTACATGATTGGATTTTTTTCCATTTAGGAAAAGAAAAAAAAAAAAGGTCCCTAAGAAAATACTAAACACATTATCCATTGGTTTCAATCAGCCACTGCCCTCTTCTAGTGGGAATTCCAGTCCTTTTCATCTACACGATTGGACTTTTTTCCATTTAGGAAAAAAAGAAAGAAAGAAAAAAAAAAGGTCCCTAAGAAAATACTAAGTATTGATAGATGTGGTTAAACATTGTCCATTCTGCAGAGTCGTACCCTGTCAGACACTACAGGGCTTTGGCTTTGCTGACTTCAACCTTCGGGCAATCCCGGGCTCCCAAACAGGGAGCTGCAGGAATCAGCCCTCCTGTGGCCCTGGCAGCAGACACGGCGATGCCCAAATCCCACCTGTCAGGGCTGATCCGAAATCCAAGCTCTTCTCCAACCGAGGCACACCCTGGAAGCAGGGCAGGACAGAACACTGCAGTGAGCCCAGAAAGGGAAGGGAAAGCCAGGGTTTTCCTCCAAACACAGTAGCAGAGCAGTGGAGCTGACCTCGGCACACAGAGCAGCCAAGGGCTCCCTTTCCAAACCTCTTAAGTATCCTCCAAGAAGCCAAATCTAATGTTGACTCATATTCTTAAGGTTATTACTTATGACATGAGAACTCATGAATTTTTCTAACTTTTACTATGTGCCCTTTTCTATGGCAAAGGTTTTGGAGCAAAACACCTCTCAGTTGCGGTCACTCACAGTGACAATGACGACCCGGGACAGTCACGGAGCGGGCGCATTCCCCACGTGCCAGCCTCAGAAACCTAGAGGCCATAACCATACCTGGTTTGGGGTGGTTTGGCTTAAAAAGGGTATTCTCAAACTTATGAACTCCTAGGAGATTTTGAATCAGTTTATTTGCTCCAATAACATTTTGTTTTTTCCCTAAAGAGTATGGTCTTTTTAGTCTCTTTTTAAGAACTTATCACTTAGTAACTGGTTGTCCACAAAAAAATAAATCAGCATCAGAATGGGACATGTTTAATAAACTCTCAGTGAGTAGAGAATACACAGTGTTTACACTAGACTTTCAGAAGCTTTTAAAAAAGTCAAAAAGCGTAAATAAATACGGTTCTACACGAAACCACATCTTGTGATGAAAACGAGTCTCACCAAAAACTGAAACTCCCACACGGAAAATGAGCCTCAGAACCCTGCCGAGACCGACCCTTCGCGGAGCACAGGCCGGAGACACTTCCAGGTTTTCAGCAGGGTCTGTTTTCCCACGACAACACTAAAAACAAATGGAAAGTGAAGAGGCCTGGCAGATGATAAATGAAGCAGCCCACACAAATCACGCTAGGGTCTGGCGGACGTGAAGGAGCCTCCCGCCGTGGCGAGCTCCCAGGAGCGTTTGTGGGCGCTGCGGAGCCGTCCTCATGGCTCTCCGGGACACGGCGCAGGACACGGGACAGAGCTGGGACGTGGGGCAGAGCCCGGCGGGAGCAGCTGGCCCAGGGCAACGCTGGAACAGCTCCCAAAGGCTGTTCCTAAGCCGTTAGCACGCGGATTCTCCTGAAAAGATCCACTTGTTTGAGGTGGTACAATTCCGCATAGCCTCACTTGGAAGGGTTTGTTCTGGGGTGATTTTCACCACGTATTTGTCTCCACGGCCGAGCTAACAAGTTATGCGGCCAAGGACTCGTATTCAGGAACAGACGAGGTCCGAGTAGTATCTCCTCCCTTCCTGCTTGGGATAAGGCAGCGCCCTTCCCAGCTCCGCATGGTGGAATCCCGGCACCTGGAGCCACCCTTTCTATCCGGATCCGCAGCCTGCGATGCCCCGAGCGTAGCTGCCACCCTGCCCTGGCCCCAGGCGCTCCGGTGACAGCCTCTGTGTACGAGGAGGCTGTGCTGTGTGACAGGGCTCCCTGGCAAAGCCTCCCCTCAGCTGCTCCAACGCTCGGTGACAAAGCTGCTATTGTGCCCGGCGCCCCGGCGGGACCCGCGCTCCCCGCGCCGCCCCGAGCTGGGCACCCTGCCTTTCCCCAGGCCAGGAAGCGGGGCCGGGGACACGCCAGGCCACCCGCGGAGCCCTCCCTTGGCTTGGCTCCTTCCCGGGCCGTTCCGAGGAACCGCATTGTTCGCCACGGCTCCCAAAGCTAAATAATTCAGCTCTAATTTCCTGCCATTCAGCCTGACACGGGCGGATTAAGCAAACGGCTCCGAATGCCTAGGAAAGAAGGGGGAAACTTTGGCTTCAAACACCAAGCAGATGTTCGACGGAACATGTGGGAACAATCTATCATTTATAACAGCAAATCCTACCGCCGCGCGGCCGCTCCCTCGAGCGGGATGAAGGAGGAGCAGAGCCCGGGAGCCTGGGCCTCCCTCCGCACGGAGCCCGGGAAGCGCCGCACCAACACCTGGGCCTGACACTTGTTTTCTGAAAACCTCTCAGTTCTGGAGGACTTCTGGTAACTACGAGCAAGGGTGGCCTTCCTGCCCCGCCACTAGATTTGGAGCATGGAAATGAGTCCCGGGATAAAGGGAAAGGGGAGGGAGCGCTCGCCCGCTCCGGGTGGTCTTTCGGCTCTCTCCCTCCGTTTGTGTGGGGAAGTTTGCACAACGAGCAAGCACGGGATGAGTAGATGGATTCAATTACCGGGCCGGTTTCCACAAGTTTTCCCTGAGAAAGTTCCCCCTGGAATCATGGGAGCGCTGCAGCAGGAACGTGGACTGTGCGCAGAAACCTGCGGAGACTGAACAAAACCACCTTCCAGCAGGTCTGAAGGACATAAAAATGAGGAAACTAATAAGGCGAACGCAAATGGAAACTTATGCTGAAAACTTGCTGAAAAAGAACAAAATACTATATTCAAATAGTTGTGTGCTCCTGTAATGAAAATAAACATGCAGAATGTTTGCAGAAAAAAAAAAACATTCCTGCGTTCAGTATCAGTTGATATTTATTCCAAGGGGGTAAGAATATTTATTCTAATGTCAAAGAAACTTCCATCCTGCTCCGTTCTGAATCAGATTCCTCTCACTATTCTTCGTGTTTTGTTTCATTTATCTTGGTTCTCACCATTCACCTTACCACAATCACAGACTATGCAGACCAGCCGTTGGAGCGACTTTGCTCAGCAGCAAAGCCAGGTTTATTCCTGGGCACATTTCTCGGGATACGCAGAGACCTTCCCAACACGGCACGTCTCATTCCAGGCATTAAACGAGAAGCGAGGGTTCTCCCTGGACCCTAGACAAAACCCCAGCAAATGGTTTGTTTGATCATTTTTCCTGCCATTAATCCATTCTTCTAAAGACAAGTTGGGGTTTTTGTTTCACTTTTCCTTTTTCACCTGGTCATTAGGGAAGGAGGACTGGGAAAGCCAGTGTAACAAGCCTTCTGGCCTGGGTAAAACCCCATCGTATTTAGTATGAGCTTTTCACAGCACCCTCATTTCAATGACCATTTCTTCCTAAAATATGAAAACTGGACGTCCCCAGCGCCTGTTCCCCAGCTTTCCGACACGGCAGGGAGGTTCCTGGAGGCCCATCCTGGTGCACATGGACCTGACGGCACCACGACCACAGGCTTTGGGTCCCCAGCAGCCTTTCCAACACCCCGCACCGTGTTCCCTGCAGGGAAAAAAGCACCGGGAATCACCCGCACCGGGTGAGCGGCGACTCTGGAAGCCATCAATTTTCCAGCTAATTCACAGCAGACTTGCAATGATATCACTTCAAAAGAATGCATGATGAAGCCCTGCAATTTTCTGCTTTTCCTGCAAATCCCCCTAAAATTCCAGGATACTTTCTGAAACACTTGGTCTTATCCGAATGGAAGGCCGGGGGTTATGCCCATATAAGAAGAGGCCATCCCTTGCAGGGAGCTCGTTTCTCCGGAGCGGGTCTCGCGCTCCGACCGGGAGCGCAGCCGCAGACGGGCGCGGAAGGGGCAGCTCTGCCGCTCGTGGCCGCGGCGCAGACCTACCCCGCAGCTGGCAGCGAGTCCCTGCTCCTAAACGCACACATGCCTACACAACCGATCTGCTTCCAATCTTAGAAACAGAGCCCACGTATCACTCCCTGGTGCTGGATATCAAACTGATTTTTGGCTAACCATCACATCACAGCACATGAAAAACGGCACACAGAGAAAGCAGTTTCTTTTTCCCCCTATTTTTAAGCCTTGTTGGGAAAAAGTGACCAGCGGATGGTCTGGAGGAGACAGGGGAGTGGGGCCGCGCGGGGACGTCTCCCACGTGCTGCCCGCTCGCGTCCCGCTCGCCAGGACCCTGCGGGCCGAGCACGGGAAACGCGCGGGGCGGCAGCACGGGCACGGCCCGGAGCACTTGGGTTTGATGAAACTTTA